CTTGTCCTATCACTACAGTCCCTAATGCAGAGTCCCACCCCAGCATCCCTATAGGCCCCCTTCAGATACTGGAAGGCTGCTAGGAGGTCTCCACGCAGCCTTCTCTTCTCCAGGCTGAACAACCCCAACTTTCTCAGCCTATCTTCATACGGGAGGTGCTCCAGTCCCCTGATCATCCTCGTGGCCCTTCTCTGGACTTGTTCCAACAGTTCCATGTCCTTTTTACGTTGAGGACACCAGAACTGTACACAATACTCCAAATGAGGTCTCACAAGAGCAGAGTAAAGGGGCAGGATCACCTCCTTTGACCTGCTGGTCACGCTCCTTTTGATGCAGCCCAGGATAATACATTGTGTTAGGTAACCAATTGGTCTTCCAATAAAAACATAAATCATAGAATGATTAGGATTGGAAAAGACCTTAAGATCACCTAGTTCTAAACCCCCTGCTGCGGGCCTCATACTAGACCATGTAGCCCAAAACTCTGTCCAACCTGGCCTTGAACACTGCCAGGGATGGAGCAGTTACCACTTCTTTGAGCAACCTGTTCCAGTGCCTCACCACTCTCACAGTAAAGAACTTCTTCCTTATATCTAACCTGAACTTCCCCTTGTTCAAGTGTGAACCCATTGCCACCCTGTCCTATCACTGCAGTCCCTGATGAAAAGTCCCTCTTTGGCATCCTCGCAGGCCCCCTTCAGATACTGGAGGCTGCTATAAGGTCTGCACGCAGCCTGCTCTTCTCCAGGCTGAACAGCCCCAACTTTCTCAGCCCATCTTCATATGGGAGGTGCTCCAGTCCCCTGATCATCCTCATGGCCCTCCTCTGGACTTGATTAAACAGCTCCCTCTTAAGCTGGGGACATCAGAACTGCACACAGTACTCCAAGTGAGGTCTCACAAGAGCAGAGTAGAGGGGCAGGATCACCTCCTTCGATCTGCTGGTCACACTCCTTTTGATGCAGCCCAGGGTGTGTTTGGCTTTCTGAGCTGCTAGCGCACACTGAAGCCGGTTCATGTTTAGTTTCTTATTGACCAATACCCCAGTGCTGCTGTGAATCTCTTCTTTGCCCAGCCTGTAGCTGTGCCTGGGATTGCCTCGACCCAGGTGTAGGACCTTGCACTTGTCATGGTTAAACTTCATGAGGTTGGCATCAGCCCACCTCACAAGCACGTCGAGGTCCCTCTGGATGGCATCCCTTCCCTCCAGCGTTTCAACCAAACCACACAGCTTGGTGTCGTTGGCAAACTTGCTGAGGGCACACTCAATCCCACAGTCCATGTCGCTGATAAAGATGTTGAACAGGATCAGTCCCAGAACTGATCCTTGAGGGATACCACTCGTTACTGGTCTCCAATTGAACATTCAGCTGTTGATGCATGTGACCATCCAGCTAATTCTTTATCCACTGGCTAGTCCATCCATCAAATTTATAACAATAACATTCAGCTACTGTTGGTCACAAATTTATATATTAAATAAACAAGAGTTAAAGTGGAAGCTCAGTGAATGCTAATTTGTACTTCCATGAATTTTTACATTATTTTTGATGCTCTTTCAGGACTAAACTAGTATGAGTGAAAGTATGTCTTATTAAGTGACAAATTTTAAATATTTCTTTTTCAAAACATTTTGTCAAATGCTTTACTAAAAATAATTACCTTGTTATGCTAAAATAATCCCAAGAAATTGCAATGTATGGAATAACTATATTCCAAGTGGAAATAATGAGAGAAGCTTATTGCTTAATAAATATATTTCAGTATCTTATTTATCTTAGTTACTTATCATTACCTGGTTATTAAATGCATGAAGATAGAGAAACCTGAAATAAACTGAAACATCCTTTAAGGCAAATGAAGGATATTGCACTTTTGTGAACTTTTCTGATTCTTTCCATTTTTTCTTGTTGACTAGAAGTATAAGATCATTTGTGATTTTTTTTTAAACGCAATTTATAACAATGACATTTTAAACTTGGATATACTATGATAGTTCTGAGAAAATTATAAATAATGTCAGCTGTCACTTTGGATTCTAGTATCCCTTTGTAGTACGTTTGTTTCCCCTCCTTAAAATCCCTCTCAACATGTCATTCATGTTCTTCTGATGACCTTGCACACTATGATATTCCGACTGTTTCACTCTTGGCTATAAGTAAAGTATCCTTTCCCTGACATATTCAATAAAAGAATCTCTTGGTTTATATAGGTAACTGCTGACAGTTACCAGCATCAATAGCTATCTTTGCTGAAAAAGTCATAAGAGGTTACAGAGTCTAAGGATTAAAGAGATGCACAGGATAATGGGGAGAAGGCTGAAGTATTCAGAGTGAATTTAATGGCACAGCAGTGTCACCATTATCCATGGTAGCAGCATTAGAAGCGGCAAAGAACCCCAATGGTTTAAATTAGTCTTCGGGAATCAAAACAAAGGATATGAGCAAATGAAAGTTCAGTCATGTCCCAACAGCTTTTAGGTTATAGTCTGCATCATTAAATTCAGTCTCATAAACAGCAGATTAAGTCAGTGTTTATGCTTTTATATCTTGTCTAACCACTGATAGGCATGAAGGATTCTCCTACTTTTAACTGAGATACATTAAAAATATCTTTCCCTTTGAGAAATTCAAGACCAAATAATGAACTAGCCACCATTCTAGGCTATAAATCTCATTTTGCAATGAGCATGAAGATGTCTTTTGAGGACCAAAAGTAATGGGCCAAAGCCTGTATTATTTAATAATTTTCTTTTCAAAACACTCATCAAACTGAAAAATATTTCCCTGTAAGTACGATTAAGCAAAAACCTGCAGTACTTGCTGTATGTGAGCATGATTAAATGTGTAATATTTCTTTATGAATCAGCTTTATAATTACTCAGTTTTAGTTATTTCTAAACATGTCTTATTTCTTACTTGTAGCAAAACTTAAAAAACAGAACTCAGATAAAATCCTGAATGGACCTTCCTAGAGAGAAAAAAGTAACAGAAATCTAAAAATTAGAAATCTGTGACTGAAAACTAATATATTTTATGATGTGATGGGAGGACAAGTACAATACCTGAAATTGTTTTAATTTTCTAAAACACCTAACATTAGATTTAAATGGTACTTAGGACTTTTTAAGTTAACAATATGTAATGTTTCACGCTTTAATCTATGATAAGAAATTGCTCATAATAAAGCGGAAAGAGAAAGTACATAACATGGTTTTACATACTCTATTACATGCATTGTATTCAAGAGATGTCGTTTGATTGTTAAAATATAAGAACTGTCAAATGGAGTCCGTTTATATCCTGAAAAGATGTTGTGATAGAACTTGCTTTTCCAGAGGTCTTCAGTCCCATTTGCAGTAGGTGATTCATCTCAAATAAATTTAATCATCTCAAAGATAAAGATCTAAGCTAAAGTTACAGACTAACTGGGAGAAAGGGCTACCTTTTTTGTTTGGTTTTTGTTTTTTTCTTCTTTCCCAATATGTTGGCATTAAGATTAGTTTATCAAGAATTAGGTTAGGTTGTTAAGATTAGACACTGTTGATGTCTAAATTTAGGTGGGATGGTTTCCTCATTAAGAAGAAAGAATTCAGGTAAATTCTGAAACACTGCTTTGAAACACATAGCTGTGAGATCTACTCAATAATTAGTTTCAGTTGTAGCGGACATAACAGCATGTAAGATTAGAAATAAAGCTCACATTACTCCTCCAACAGCACTCTGAAATAACATTTAACCACAATAGAAGTCACATCAGTCTGCTCCTAAGTGCTGTGCTGGTTTAGATTTTCAGCATTTTATTATAATTTTGATTAATGGTTTAGAATCTACAAGGACCTGGAAATTCAACTTTAAAAATAAATTTAAAAAAAAAAGCCCATCTTGATCTTCATGCAAAACATCAGGAACAAGATTATTATAGGTGAACAATGTGACACTGTGAATACAGAGAAAAAGAACATGATACTGAATGTCATAGTATTTCCTAGTTAATTTTCATCCACAGAAGCCAGATGTTTTACAGCCTAATTTTGCTTTAGCTAAATAATTTATTTTTTCTGTTTTCTTCATTTTGGTAGGCAGCAGTAACAGGAAAAAGCTGCATGTGCTGTAGTATTCCAGTTGCTCTTAGAGTCACCAAAACACTTATACCCATGTGTTAAAAGCCTCAGAGTTACAATTTAGTCACGTTCTTCACATATGCAACCATTCCTGTGCATTCACTGAGAGCTACAATTTTGCTCAAAAATATGCAAGCAAAATAATGTATATTCCCCTTGTATTTTTCTTATGGAACAACATAGGCTAGGTTCTGTTTTTAAAAGAAAACAGGTATGACGTTATATCGTGAACTAGAATTTAGGGGAAACTTCAAATGTTCTAACCATTAAATTTTAGCAGCCTATCATGTCAACAGGATACAGTAACGAAATCAAAAGAAAAGCAAAACTGTTTTTTATATCCATTATTAAGCACACAGTTTACACTCTTAAATTCAAATTTTGCAATCACCGCCCTTTTCAGTTTCTAGTATAAAGATTAAGATATTGGTGCCTTAGTGTATGTAAACTCAAATATGAAATTAGGAAGACATCTTGGTCTTTTGATTGTAAGATTTTTGTAAGATTGTAAGATTGTATGACTGGGTTTGATACTCTGGTTTTTCTGTGCTAGCATACTGGAAAATAAATATATAACTCGTCAAAGAGATTACAAAGATGTTTCCATCATACTATAGTAATAATGGGAAAAAATCAATTAAATATCTTCTAAAGAAAATCATCTAATTATAGTAAGACTCCTGTAGATGCTGTTTCTGTAAAAATTGAATGCTGTTTGACAGTCTTTTCTAAATGGTGGATATTAAATATAGTAATTTGCCTATATTATACTTAGAACATCCATAGAACAATGATGGGTGAAATATTTATATTTTTTTATCTGTACATGATTTTAGCGTAATGAATGTGTTCCTATTGTTTTCTTTTGATATTGTAGGTAAGCACACTAGACTGGGTACGAGCTGAAAAAATCTATAACCTCTGTGAGGTTCTATTTAAAATTCACAAGGTAGGTTTCCTAACAATTACAATGATATTATTTAGTAAAGAAAGCTTGCCTTTTTCTGTTAATTGTAAACTCAAGTTAATCTTAACTAGGAGCAGGTAACATTCAAATAGGGCATCTGTTGTTAAAAAAAAGTATTTGGAATTGCTAGTGCATTAGCTATCTAAGGATGAGAAAATGGACTAAGCTCCAAGTCCGCAAGTTACTAAAATGCTTCCATTTTGAAGAAAATTGTCAATATTACAGCTGGTTGTATAAAGGCATCAGCTAAGCATAATGAAGCTGGATATCACATTTTTCTTAGTGGGTCAGATTTTTCAGTGAATGTGATGAAGATTGCTATTACTGTAATTCCTGATCTATACAAAGATACTTTAGTAATTTCAGTAATTAGAAGTATTAAATTATGTCCTTTTCAGATCACGTGTAATTTCCAAATATTATAGTGGGTTTGACCTTGCAAAGGATAACATGGTGTATTTGTGTACTACAGAATTCTTCATTATATTCCACCACCTAGAGACAGCGTCATGCTTTCTGTTTAACTTGGTCCATGAAAGGATTTTGGTCAAAACCTTAGTAGTCTGTTTAAAGAATTGACTTACAGAAGATATTTTCTAATAAGTTGTATCTCACTATTATATTAGTTGCATGCATATTCGTAATTCCTGCATATAGGCAGGGAATATTATAACTAGCTCCTGGAACTTATTATCGCAAGTCCCCTCCTCTTGGCATCTGTGCACTGCTCTCGGGTGATTGTGAGCAGGGGTCTTGAGGATGAAGTGAGCAGTCTTCCTCTTGTGAGTAGGGGTCTTTAGGGGTCTTCAAGGGTCTTCAAGATGAAGTAAGCAGTCTTCCTCACAGTGTACATTTCACCTTTGGCACAGTTGGACGCCCCAATAATCACACAACTAGCTGAAACCAGCCATATCTGTAATTCTGATAACTAGCAATGATTTAAAACAGTGTGACTTTCCTGCAAAATTTATTGCAGGATGGGCAGACAAGGGGTATCCCAAGCTGGCAGATGTTTGAGAGGCTCTGTCTCTAAATTAACTGATAAGTAGAAGGATGGTGTGAAATAAGTCGTTCATGTTTAGTGGGACCACTAAATCCTGTTATCTCACCACAGACTTACAACACAAGCGTTGTTCTTTAAAACTAAAGATACTTAGAAGACTAGTGTGAAACAATTAACTCATGTTTAGTGCAGCCACTACATTCCACAGACTTACAACATAAATATTGTTCTCTTTCCACAACCTCAGTTAAGCTAAAAAGTACTTTAACTATGATTTTCAGGCACTAGCTTTTCTTATATCAAGCCCCCCCCCTCTTTCTTTTACCTTTACAAATTCTTTTGCTGTGTGACTCCATTTTGCTCTAGAGTTCTGGCCCTTTTTAACTTGTTGTCTAATCTTGCGTCTTTAGCGAGATTTGTTTCTGTTATTGTAAACTGGTCAGTTATATCCACATAACCACACCTATGACTTGCGAAAGCCAATACATTTATGTGTTTATCACACAGATAAAATGCTGTTTTCGCTGAAAAATTACAAAGCAGCTTTATTTCTCACCAGCTGCTGTCCTCTCTGCTGTTCATCCTTCAACCCTGTACTAATGTGGAGAGGGAAGGCTGTTGCTCTGTTACCTGTACAGATCCTGACCTAACATTGCACCAAAGGAGAACAGATTAAGTTTTTTGGGTTGGGTTTTCTTCCGGATTCAACATAGTTATTCAGTACAATTTACAGAAAGAAAAAAAAAAAAAGGAAACAAACAAAGAATTCATAGACCTAATAATAACACTCCATTCTCCTTTATTGCCCTGTTCACCATAGCAAGGAGTTCTCTGTAGCCCTAAACATCCAAATTCTTCAAAAAATGGGGTGACAGGGGGTTCTGTGTCCTGATTGCTCAAACTTATTGTCCCAAACTGACTTACAGAAACACGGGCATGCTTTCTGCACCAGTTTTTTTGACTGATTCAAAAACTAAATAAAAAAAAAAAAAACTGAAAATGTGATGAAGTTACAGCCGACAGAAAAAGGAGCACACAACCAACAGAGAGCGGATCAAGGAGCACAGGGAATTTGATAGAAATCTACAAAAAAATATCTCTCAAATGAGCCTACATCTGCATTTTAGGGAGTTATCAGTCCCTTTAACAAGCTGCTATAAGAGGTTCTGCTGATGTCAGCTGCCAGTTTTGCAGCTCATCACTACCTGTTCTTATTCTGTTGTAAACCTGCAATCATTGAGTGGGAATGGGTTGAGGTGGAAGGGGGAGGTTCTGTCCATTAATCTATTTTAAAATTTACTTTCTTCTGATAAATAAGTCAGACAACAATGAAATATAAACTCATTGTGTCTCTTGAAAAGATTTTGCTGTGGTTTGAGTTTTGGATTTTTTTTTTCTTTAAATGCTGCTACTGCTTTAAAACTCAGTCCTTCCTTGCATATTCTCATATTTTCAATCTATCCTTAAAGCAAATACTGTGCTACTTTTTCATTGACAAAAAGCAGTGGGAAATAAACTACCCAGGATTCAACTCTTTAATGTTCTTGACATTTTAACAAATGAATGCTTAATTGCCAGTCTTCATGAATACATTAGTTAAAGTGCAAAACCTCAAATTCAACTCTTTAACCTCTTTTCTGTTGATTCTTTGGCATAAATGACAGTGAGGCAAACTGAGCAAATCCAAAAAGATAGGAATAAATCCTAAGCAGTTAGGATTTGTACACTGGAGACTGAAAGATGGAGTTTACGTCGTAAAAACTGCCATTTGGGAAGAGTATTCCTAAGTAGTTTCAGAAGCTAGTTAGAACTAGTGCAAAGCTGTGGTGGAGACTGCTATTGAATCTTTCCACAAAAGGTGGGTTTTAAGGAGAGGTGCATCTGTTACACACCTTGTCATCTGTGTTTATTATGACACAATAGTTAGACATGAAAAATAAGAATCCAATAAATCCAATATGGAAATTACATTTTAAAACAAAATGTTTGCTATGTTTTAGATTTGTGTGTGTGTATACATGCATATAGGTACACACTTGCATACACAATCATGCATATATCTCATGCTGTAGCTTATTCATGGACGTTTAGTAGTAACAAACAGATGACTGAAACCATAATCACTTTTGTCACATATGTTTCTTCCTGTACCTTGCCTCATACTATATATTCACTGAAACTGTTACTGAAAACCTGTATTTTTCAGGGGTTAGAATACTAGATACATTTTTAAAAGCCACCTGTCTTAAAATCATTTGATTTTGTTTTATTACTTGGTATTTTCACACGTCTCATTTTCACACACAAAGTAAAGATATTAATATAATACTCTGCAAGCCAGAATGAGCGGCATTGAGTTGTGAAGCAGATACAGATGTAAAACCTGTCACTCCATAGCTGCTGAGCATCAGATTATGTATAGGTATTTCGTTCCACTTCACTTTCAGCAGTCTAAAGGAGCATCGTAAAACAAGTTTTGAATTCCTTGAAGACTGTTCTCGGATAGCTGTAGAGCCATTTTTAACAACAAAGTACTGTTTACATTTTGGTGGCTGCTTCTGAGGTGCCCCGCAAAACATCCTTAGTTTACAGTTAACTTGGTTGACTTGGGTAAATTGCAGAATGTTATATTTGCTAGTTTATGTTTTCAGTAATTGACCAGGACAAGCAATATTTTCAGTTCCCATCTGAAAGTACACAGATATGTTTGCATTTTTTTTTTATTTAATTTTATTTTTGTCTACATGTATGATAGTCAATGAAGTCTTGGAAAGTTTCTGGTCACAATTTGTTTTCATTTACAAAACATTCTGTTACAGGGATAATTATAAAAGACTACTATGAAGTTTCTTTTCATCTTGAAGGTGTTGGTAGGATCTCACTTCACTTCGCTTGTAGTTGCTGAGCAGCACTGGCAGCTTTTAGGGGGCATTTGAAAGCTCACATTATCATTTCCAGAATTAGCCCTTCAGTGCTTGATAAATTAATGCATTCCCTAGTGTTTAACATATTGGAACCCAGTTACAATGGAGTAGTTATATTCTTCTGTAAAGCTGCTACACAACTCTTGAACTGAGTTCAGACAATTCAGGGATTTCTTTTCTTTTCACTGTAAACAATATAGTGTTTTACGAACTCTTTTTAAATTATGCATATATTGCTTAGGTAACTTTGTATTTTGAAACTGCACAAGTAGCTTGGATTATATGACACAGGGTAAAGTGAATAAGAACAAAAGAGATAAGTTGTCTGTGAAATTATTACTTAATTTTCAGAACATTTGTACAAAGTAATTACAAGCATAATGACATAACGTATCTTAGTACCCCTTACTTACAGAAAGACAATGTTGCTTTAACTGTTTTTGCTAGATGAAGAATCATATACTGAAATATGTCTTTCAGCTCTGGCTTGCTGACGATTGCTGGCTACAAGCAAACTTGTATTTAGGTATTCATCAGGACTTTGATCTTGAAGACCAGAGGCCGTATTGCTTCAGTGTTACGGTTGGACATGGCAAGAGTCATTATTTCAATGTAGAGCTGGGCAGCGAATTGGCAGTGTGGGAGAAATCATTTCAAAGAGCGATTTTCTTGGAAGTTCAAAGAACAGGGGTAAGTAATGAATAATTTAAATCCTGGAGCCATTTCATCAGTTAAAAAAGTATAACAAATTTTTAGATGAATAGTATGTTTAATACTTGCATCAGATTGATGTGCCCCGTGACTAAGGACCTCAGTACATGTTAATACACCCAAGGCTTCTGAAAGCTGCATCATCACGTCAGTATTTGTATGTCAGTGACCATGTAGTAAGTCTGTGAACATGGTAGGACAGTTAGAAAATTGGAAGTAGTAAAGTGTAAGTTGGTCTTGATTATCACAAACTGATAATTAATACGTTTTACTACGGGAAAGCAGATTCTGCAGAGATTATTTAGTCTACCCTGAACATTTTTCTATCAGAAAGCTTATTTTTCATTCACATAAGGTAAATATGTTATGTTTTACATAATGTTTCTATTCTCACTGAAGAAATATTTTGCTCTTACATTGTTAATTGTCAATTGGGATTGTCCTTGTTAACACTGGAAAATTCTGAAGACTAAGCATAAAAATGAACATTTGTGATAGTCTTAAATTCTCAAAATTAAACAGCATATCATTACTTTCTCCTGGCTAGTAAAATTCTCAAGTCAATTATTTTCTCAGATCTGAGGGTGCATTTCCCATTAGGTGGTTTCAAATTTAAGATCAAGTTTTCTGGTATAGTTTTCTAAATGCAGGTGTCTATTAGCATGGTGGTAGCTAAGTGCCCATTAGAATCAGTGAGCGGAGTCCGAACAATGCGCTTCTCATAAACTAGATACTTTATTCTAAATGAGATATTTTATGGCATGAAGACAGAGAAGGTAAATTGATTTTTATTTAAGTTGCAGCTTAAAGCACCTCTATACTGTTATATAAAGAAGTTACTTGCTGAACATCAAGATCCATACTCCCAAGTGAACTGGACCTGTGGTATGGGAATACATGCATAAAGAGTATAGGCCTTTTCCAATTAAAAACATTTACACAGTTTAAGCATAAATGCAAGCTTTATCTGATATATGTGGGTTTGCAGGGACCTCATAAAGGTGTTTGCAGTAGTAAGAGGACTAAATCACAGCATTGCATTAGCACAGCTTGCAAGGTGCAGGAGTCGTAGCACAGGTATTAAATCTGCTCTTCTAGATTTCAGAGTCTCTGGGATTCTAACAAGGTTTGCAGGTGCTTCTTTAGAACCCTTCCAATTGTCTCTTCAGGCTGCTAAAGTAACAAAAAAGATTTTGTAATGGTGATGCTGTTGCTCCTGCTCTTTTGGGATGCAGTTCTTCAGAAAAAAAAAATTAATTGCTGAGCATCAGGGAGGGGCTAATAATGCATAGTGAGTATGCATAAAGTGTTTTCTCACATGAACTCTTCAAAAATTATGATCCGACTGTTTGAGCAGCCGCTCAATTGTCCTATCTATTATCCATATAAAAAAAACAGGAAGGTTGGAACTAGATAATCTTCAATGTCCATCCCAACTCAAATCATTCTATGATTCTATGAAAATTAAGTATAACAAAGGGAGATTATCTGGATCTATATATGGTTTGATTTCTGAAGTATTAATTGTTAAAACTTAGCATTTGTTCCTTTCCCTCCTAACAATCTTAAAATCAAGGAACAATTCTTTGCTTCTGGAATGATCTCTTGTCCTTTCAATCCATCAGCCCTCTAGACCTGTATCGCACAGAAGACATTAATATTTCTTCTAGTTGTGGTTTAACCAGTCTGATACTTCCAGGAAAGGTATTAGGTTAAAAACCTGATTACAGTGTTTAAGTCTCCATGTGTGTGTTCCCATATCTTAATTTTCTCTCACTCAGTTGCATACTTTCAAGTTTGTTGTAACTCGCTCTGTCAGTTGGATGCAAAGTGCTGTGGTCACTCTCCAGCAGTGAAAAATCTTTTGACTCCTCTATTTTCTTTCTTTCTTCAAAATATAAATTCTGCTTTGAATTACCTTCTTTTCAGAAGGATATCAAGAACAGCATGAATGAGGTGCAATTTAACATTACATAGATTATTTTAAGCCATAGAAAAAGAAACGGCATTTTGGTATCCAGTAAATTGAAGGTTGTCACCAGTAGGTGAGATTGTCTATAAAAAATTCTTTCTTCTGGAGAAGGACCATAATTGCAGTTGGAATGTAACTTTTATTCATAAGTGATTGGGCAAGATTCATGGTATGTGTTGGGTTGCACTGTGGCATTTCAACCATTCTTATTTACATGTGGCTTGATTCTGTTTACTGTTAAGGGTCATTAGGATCTTTGCTTTGACAGAATCATTGTTAACCTTACCCTGTACACATTCTTTGTGTTTGGTGTTTCTATAAGAGTTGTATTTCTGGGAAGATCCTGTCTTTACACAGTTTATAAAAAGAAATATTAAGATGCAATGGTGCTTTTGCATTTTTGCTGCCTGTGTTATGTGATTTTTTTTAATACATCTCTTCTGAAAAAGGCAGCAGCATTAAATGACAGAAAGAATGCAATAAAGCAGGAGGATATCCCCCTCACAATATCATTCTCCTTTCAGCTATCTTAGTGTGAATTGTCCCTGCCCATGGCAGGGGGGGTGGAACCTGATGATCTTAAGGTCTTTTCCAACCCTAACTATTCTATGATTCTATGATTAAAGCTGTATTTCAAGCTGCAAATGCTTAAAAAAGGAGTGTACCAAGAAACCGTGAAATTCAGTGATCCTGATGAAATGAGTCTATTTACAAACAACGACAGCAAGCAAACTTACGTGCTATATATATACATATGTTATTCCTATAAAATATATGGTAGTCTCAATAGCATAATTTGGACAGATGGGAGCAATAACAATGCAATAGAACTAGGAAGGCAGTTGTGACATGAAAGAAGTGCATTAAAAAGTATTTCCATGAGGCTGGTAATTAAAGTCAGCATTGCAGTGGAGGATAGGCAGTGAAGACCTTCCAGTCATAACTAGAATTTCAATCATCTCCCACAAATTTGAGCAAGCCTCTCTGTCTCACTTGGAGCATCCTAAACAGTGCAAGATTAATTAATGATGATTACATTAAGTAATTTTTCTTCTTCTTTTCTTTTTTTCAAAGTTGTTTTACAGTGTAGATGGTCTTCAAAAATAAAAGGCAAGCACATTTGCCAGCTCTCTTACCAGTTCTTTGACTCTTCAGGGTAATCTTAGTATTATGGGCTTTTATTCCATGTTTTTCAATGTTGTCTTTTTAAAGTTACTTTATCAGTATTCTTCCCTCTCCTCAAACTATAATTTCCAAAAAAAATTATCTTGACTCATGTGAGATTTGGATATGATAGTTAAATTAATGCAGAAACATCTCAGTAGGATGATTTGGATCTTTTGGGTCTTCAAGCTTGTTCAACAGAAGGATAAGAGGAGGATATTTGAGCAGTGTTTGGTAGGGAGCAGAGGAAATATTAACAGTAATGCATTTTACTGTCAGCTGTAAAAAAGAGACTGTTTTTGCATTTTGAATCTTTGTACTTATTACATGTGTGGCAGAAGACAGAGAGGTTGAGTCTTGCTTCACTAGATGAAAGAGCTCTCAGAAGACTGAAAAAAGCATGCAGGGGGACAGTCATGTACTGCAGCATCTAAAGTGCCTACACTTGATGTAAGGAGACATGGTTACATACTCTCCTCATTTACCTAGCAATTTCTAAACACAGAAGAAAGTTTTCCCTTTGTGCTTCCAGCTGTGATGCAGATGCTGCAAGCTCTTTCCAGTTCCCATACAGCTGAATAGCCTAGTTTCATGAAACCATTTACATTGCTTGTAAAAAAGGATTGTTTAATATAACTTACTGTAAAAATTAAAAAAGTTCAGATGTTGGACTTCACTCAGTCAAAACAGAATAATCAAGAAGTTTTGCTGTGCCTAAATTTAAGTACTTCTACTTTGTTCTGTAACTCAATGACTGATGTTCACAGAAAAATAAACCCTGGAAATAAATATATAAAATATATTTGTTGAGGACAGGGATATGAATGTATTGTGCTCAGAGAAATGTTATCAATAAAATTCATGATCTCGGAATGCTACAAATTCCTCCTGTGAAGAATATACATTGAAAATAAAAATCACAGATGTTGTAATAATATTTCACTTAAATCCATGTCATGTGAACATTATTGGAAATCCAAAGCCGGTTTACAGTGAACATAAATGTGCAATGTAATTATCCTATGTTTTCCCTCTTTATGTTTCAGTTAACACAAATCTGCTTCTGTATGTCTTTCATCTTTTTTGTATTTATTTTTAGCATTTAGTCATTTTCCTAAGAGTTAACAATGAACCATTCTGTATAGTCAGATTCTTGATGCAGATCATACAAATCAGACTGTTCAATGTGGCTCAGAATTGCTGATTATAGCTGTTCCAGGATAAATGCAAAAATAAATACTGTGAATAATTTTGCATGCAGACCTGGAGCTTTTTTTATATATAATTCCCACATGAAGCTTTCAATTTTGTTTCCACAAATATTGTGCTGCTAAAACACCATGATTAAAATTCCTAACAAAAGAAACAATTATTAAAACAAATGCAAGTAATACATTTTGGTTTTGTTTGTAAGCAACAATGAATTCCTTTTTCATGTTGATATGTCCATCCAATCTCTGTTTTTATCTGTGAGCTTAAGCAGTGTTCCACACTTAACAAAAGATGACTGACATGAGAGTAACATACTTTACAGTATCCTTAGTTCACCATATTCCTGTTTGAGACATTAGCGTTTCCCTCTATACACTGTATGTTCTTCAGGATGACCTATATGAAGTGCCTGAGTCTGCAACCATATTATTGATGATTAAACCAAAACAAAATTACATAGTTATTTTGAAGACATGGTTTACACTATATCCTTTGCTCAACATTTTATGACTTTCCATTTTTTGCTTGATGGACTATCTCCGATGTTATGATCCTAGTTACTTTTTTATATTCTCTCTTCTATTCATCTTTTTAATTTCCTTGTAGTATCTTGTCATAGATTTTACCAGGT